AAAAAAAAAAAAAAAAATCTATCCCTGTAGGAAGATATTTAAATTTTAAGTCACAGAACCATGATGTAGGTTTTGTCTCTGGACTCTTGTGCCCCTCTGGCTTCCTGTCCTTAGTTATACAACCTTTCTTTAAAAAGTTGAGCAGAAGTGGATGGGAGTCCCTTTCCAATTCCTGGGGGAAGTTGGCCCAGTGGGCCTGGTGAACTGACTGCCTAGCTTGCCTTGGTGCCTTCCTGCCTGGGGCCTGGTGGGGTGTGCTCAAGATGGGGCAGCCCCAGCCTCTGTCTGCCCACAGGGGGTTACCCAGCACTTTGCTTGATGGCCTCTCAGTGTTCCTCCGTGGGTGTGAGCCAGGCTGTGTGAAGTGGGAGGCCCAGGGCACAAGGATAGTGGTATTAGGTGGAACAAATGAAGAAGGGGAACACTGGGGCAGGCAGGAGTGGGAGCTGTGGTGCTCAGGAGGCGTGTGTGTGTCAGAAGTAGGAGTACAAGAAAAAGCGTTTAGATGAGCAACGGAGTTGTGAGCATTTTGAGAGAGAACCTGTGACTAAGGTGTGAGAGGTGTCAATTTCAGGTTGGAGGACATGATGTGGGGCAAAGCTAAAGTGGGCCTTTGATCAGGGTTGGAAGTGTCGGTGTGCTGGGAGAGGAGGGTGTGAGTCTGAGGGTACAAGGCTCTTGGGACCAGGATGCTATGGATGGGCATGGTTCCAGCGGGTGGCCCTGTGAGTGTGGCAGGAGCTTGGAAGGGGTGAGGTCCTTCTCCCTTCCCCTCTGTCCCTCACCAACTCTTTAAGGGCAAGGAAGCCAGAACTTTTTTCTTTTATTCGGAGTTTAAAAATAAAAAAGATCCCGGAGCAGGAGAGCCTGTGATGGATTTAGCGAGCACTTCCACACTGAACATAGTGGGGACAGGGCCCTTCTGGAACCACTATGTGGCCTGAGAGAGTGAGGGCACGTCTGCGGAGATCCTGGAAAGGGAGGCTGGGACCCAGGGTTGCGCTGCAGGCTGTAGAGCCTCACGTTCCAGAAAGTGGGGTGAGGCGAGAGCTGAGAGTCGTGGGGAAGGCGAATCGCACAAAGTTGGGGAGTAGGCGAGAGCGGGGACGCCCCTGCGAGCCAGGCTGTGGGACTGGAGGGGGGCGTGTGACGGTGAAGAAGAGGGGGTGGGGTGAGAGGGTGTGCCGGCGTCGACTGGGCTGCGGTCCGTGGGCGCCTCAGGCAGAGAGGGTGGCTGCTTGCCTGCGGCTGGCTAGGGTCTCGGTCCGTGTGCGCGCGTGTGCGCGGGGCGGAGAGCCCGGGGATCCTCGGGGTGGCGGGGCCTCGGCGCGGCCGCGAGTGAGAGAGCGGGCGCGGGCGGAGCTCACAGCCGAGGCGGCGGGCCGCCCGGGTTATCTGAGCCGCTTGGTCTTGGGTGACTGCGCCCAGATCTCCGCGCGGCGGCGGCGAAGGCGAGACGCGTTGTCGGGCCGCAGAGGAGCGGGACAGCCAGACCCAGGCCCAGGACGCGGCAGCGGGGAGCAGAGCATGGAAGAGCGCGCGGGTCGGGCAGGTACGAGCGGGAGAGACCCGTCAGCGCCGCGGGCAAGGACTGGGCATAGGGGCCGCCGGGGCGGGCTCCTCTTCTCTTTCATCCCGGTTCTCGGGAGACTGTGAAGCCTGGGGACTGAGGCTCTGCGGACTCTCTGCGCCCCGCGGCCTCCTGGGCCGTCCCTACCGGCGTCCTCTAAATCTTCTAAAAACTTTCCACGCAGGAAACGTGAGTTTTACAACTTCGCTTGGTCTCTTTGCAGAACTTGGCTTTTTCCTTTCTTCTGTGTGGTTAGGCCTTTCTAGTTCTACTTTCGGCACACAGATATTTTGCAGAACTTCCTCCAAGTTGGGAGCATTGGGAAGGCCTTAGTCTCCAGTAAGAAGAGAGCGTGAGCTGGGCCAGCGCCGATGCCAGAGGGTGGGGAAATGCTGTGTGCACCTGTGTGTAGGGTCTTGTGTATTTGATTATGAATACTAGTGTAGATGTACCTAACCTGTGTAGGGAGAAGGCTCTGTCCCTCAAATCAAGGGCAGCACAGGGGAGAGAGGTGGCAGGCCCTAGGGGATCCAGTGGGGAGAGAAATCTGAAAATGTTTACCCAAAGGGCCAAGGGAGTGGAGTGCTGCTCTCTTTTTCTTCCTTCCTTCTGTCTCCCAGGGCTGTCAACTCAGCTCTGACTGCCCTTTAGGTGCCCTGCTGATGTACAGGGGTGGGAAGCCAGGCACCCAAGTTTAGTTTTGGACTGCGGGGGAGGGAGAGGGTTGGATCAGGTTTCCAGAGTTTTCCAAATAATTCCACGGAGGTCAGAACCTAATTCGAGGCCTTTCTGTTTTTTTTTTCCTCACTCCTCACCTTTCCCAAATCTCATTCCTTGCTCCCCCCTCCCCCAGTTCAGGTTCCAGTTGATTCAGCTGATAACCCAGGTCCCACCCCCAGCTCTACCCTTGATCTAGCTTCTCGACCTAATCCCTGGGCTCTGCCCAATTCCCCTCCTAAGGCCTCGTCCCCACTAGGAAACCTGAACCCCCAGGAGTGTCAACTGTGGCCACCTGAGCTTTTAGGGCTCTGGGCAGACCCTCTGCACCAGAGGTTTAAGTAGGGAGATCAATAGCAAACAGTTGTAATGATCTAATTAATTATGGCAAAATTAAAAGCGAGTACAAAATCAATCTCTGATGGTGTTGAAGATGGAATTCAATTGAGAGCCCATCTGTGCACCCCCTCGACCGTATAAATATTCAGCCCAAGGACAGACCTAACGTCTGGGCCTTCCTGGGAACCTCTCTCCCCTTTCTTCCTCTCCTGCACAGGGCTTTCTCTCCCTCACTCTTTCTGAATCTGTTTTGCTTCTCGATGCCTCCTAGCCCCACCCCTCCTTCCTTCCCTGTCCCATTTGCTCAAGCTCCTGAGACTCCCGCTTTTCCATCTTCCCTCCGGGCAGGGCTCTGCCTGCATTGAGGCCTGAGTTTTTTGAACCTGGTTCCCAGACCCAGCAGGTCTCCCAGCAAGGCCCCTAGGCCCCTCTCCAAGACTCGGGAAAGAGAAGACAGTGTGATGAGGGGCAACCTTGAGTGCCTGTCAGGGTCCTCATTCCAAATTTCCTGGCGCTCAGGAAATTCCAGAGGACACCAGGGCTCTCTTCACTTACCCAGGGGCGCCTGCGCCTACCTGTGCCTGGCGGGTTAGGGCAGACGCTCCCCTGGGGCGCGTGGTACTGCGGCCGGAGGCCCGGTTCCACACCGCGCTCCCTTTCCCTTCCCTCCTTTCCCGCCTTTACCGGTGCGGGGCTGGTGTTCCAGGCAGCAGCAGCTCCGGGAAAGGTGGGGAGGAGCTGCGGCGCTGGGCAGGAGACAAGGCTGTGTCCGAGAGAAGAAAAACGCCCTTCGAGGAGGCCCCACCAAGCAGAGCTGCGGAGTCTTCTGCCCTCCCAGCCGCCTTCTCTCTTTGCCTCTTTCTCTTTTGACCACCTCCTCTCTCATCTCTTCGGTAGCCGCGTTTGGCCGGGTCACAACTCCCGGGAGGCCCTGCCTCCCCTAGACAGCCCCAGAGCCCTTTTGGACCCCATCCGACTAGTTTAAAATGACAATGACAGACGCGCGTGACCAAGCGTGCCTGCCGGATACCGCGGCGCAACTGCCCCGCAGCCGGGTTTGCGAAGGATGCGGGTTTTACTTAGTCTGGCTGAGCCTGTTCTGGAGCAGCGAAAACCATCAGGAAAGGGCGTGGGAAGGAGGAAGGGGATTGAATCAACAACTATGGCAATGGTGGTCTTCAGCGATCGCTGCCTATACCCCAGAACTTATAAAAACAAGCAGTTTATTCGATGTCCTCCCTTTTTCTCGGCTGCCCTGTCCCAGCCGGGTCTCTGGCTCTCTGACGCTGGTCTCTGCCTTCTGGGGCCCTGAGCTCCCTCCCTAGCCTGCACCGAGTTCCCAGGTTTCTGTCTACCTTGGGAGACTTCTCCCTCTCCCCATTGAGGCGCCAGGCCCTCAGAGCCTGGGGGAGACACAGCCTGACGCCTCCCGGCCCTCTTTTGCCAGGCCTCCTCACCCCGTTATTAATTGCTGTGTTGACCTGCAGGATTGATTGGCAGCCCCGCTGGAAGAGGCTGCCGAGGCCTTGGCCTCGGAGCAGCCTCAGCAGAGGGCGGGGGGCGTGGGGGGAGGGGTAGGTGCTGGATAAGAGTCCCGAGCTCCCATCTCAGCCCCGCCTGGAACACTATCGTCTGCCTAAACACACTTCGCCACCCCCTCGCACTTTTTACACACCCTCACAACACTCAAGCGCACTCCCACGATCCACTTATCCAGACGCTCAGCCCCCGAAGAGACACATCAGAAATTCCCCTTAATTGATTCAGAAATTGAAAGGGGTTTCCTTCCTCCAACAGTTTCTTCAATGTATTCGTTATCAGCGGGTCTAGACCTCCCAACTGGTCTAGACGGTGGAGCGAACCCCTGGGACCTGAGTTTTTTTCTTTCCATGATTTACTTTGCAGCTTTTCTTTTTAAAGAAACAGTTACAGAAAGTTATGAAATAATTCTGGATGCAGGTGACCCTTAAAGTCTCAAAACCAAAGCATTTTTTTTCCAGAAAGAGACCCTGTCCTGGCTCCTGAGGGATTCTGTTCAGCTCTTTTGTTTCAAGTTCGGGGAACGGACGGCTCTGGATCTTGGAGGGCAGAGGCTGGCAGTCGCCTGGGGCAGGGGTCTCACCCTACAGCGAGGGTCCTCCTTCTCCCTTTCCCAGCGGGCCTAAACCGTCGCGTGCGCGCGAACCCCCCCCCCCCCCCACCCCCCCCCCCCCCCCCCACCCCCCCCCCGCAGCCCCAAGACCGCGGGCCAGGAATCCCCGGGACGTCCAGGCTCCAGGCTGGACGTGGGCAGAGGCGGCAGGAGTGGACAAACCCAGGCGGGTCCCAAGACGCCTCTTTCGTCGGGCCTCTTCCTGTCTCAGCCAGCCGCTCTCGCCCCCAGTTCCTTCTCCCTAGCGTTCGAATCCTTTGTCTCCAGCCACCTCGCAGCCTGCCCCCCCCCCGGCGGCCCTGCCCTTTGGCCTCCCGGTCTCGCTGGCGGGTCCCCCTGCCTTACCAGCTCCCGGCTCTGGCGCGCTCTCCACCCGCTCCTCACATCCACACAGCTGTTGGGAGAGGAGGAAGAGAGGGCGGGTGCGCCGCGGATGGATCCGAGGCGGTAGATTTGGTGCCTGCTCGCAACTCCGGGAAACTCAGCCCGGTCCTCCCGCCCCTCTCCAACTCTCCCCAGCGCGGCCCGGCCGCGACCGCTCACCCGCGGGGCCCCTTCCTTTCCTGTATCTCAGCTGTGGCTGTTTCGCTCCCTGTGGTCTCCCCACCTCTGGAGTGTGCTCCCCTGGCCCTGCACTCCGCTCCCTTTCGGCTGCCCCCGCTGTCGCGTGCCCCCACCCTCTGTAGGTCCCTTGGTCGCGGCGGCGATGACGGTGGCGGTAACGCCGGGGACGTCCTGGGTCAGCCTGCACTGTCTCCCTCGACCACAGCCCGATGAGGCCGCGGGCTTCGGGCCGGGCTGCTAAGAGAGTTAATCATTACTTCGCCACCAACTCTCAGCCTCCCTCCGACTCTTTCGCCCTGCCTAGGGGAGGAGGGGAGGGGACAGCTGGCCAGGTGGGGACTTCGGCTCCGCACAAACCAGCCTCTTCAGGCCCTCCAGAGACGGGTGGTGCCTTCTCAGTTACCCCAGGCCCTCTTAAGGCCTCTTTCTTCCCCTCCTGTCTCTCCCTCCCTCAAGCCTCCTCCCAGGCAGGCCTCTCCCCACCGTCTCCTGTCCGTCTGGCTTTGACTGATTAACTGCAGGTCCTGGGAGGACCAACTTTCTTTGTTTGGAACCGGACCGGACGGGATTTCCTTCCCTAGATCTCCGCCAATGGGCCAGCTCCTCCCGATGGTTTTGGCGGACTGGCTGAAGAGGACTGCGCCTGGAGGCTACAATTAACCTGGCTGTTGGTGGTGATGGTTGGGGGTGGGCAGTGAGGAATTTAACCGACCCTCTAGCAGCTGCGCTGGTGCAGTTGGGGGTGGTGGTGGAGGAAGTGGGAATGGAGGAGTGGCAGGAGGGCTAGACTGAGAGAACGGGAAACCTGGACAGGGTGTGGCATAGCCAATGGAAAGGGCAACAGACAAAACAAAACAGGAAAGCTGTGAGCTGAGGAATCCCCAGTAACCTTTATAGGACTGAAGCTGGGTGGAAAACACCACCTCCTGCCCTGTCTAAGCACTCAGATCCCTCCTTTACCTCCTTGTGGAAGGGTAAGAGTTCAGAAAGCTGGGCGTTTACTCCATCCTCTACTAGAGAGATGCCTGGGTGCAAGATCCCTATTGATGTGCTCCATGGAGTAGTCAAGACCGGCGTAATCAACCCCATTTTACAGGTGAGAAAACTGAGGCTCAAAGAAGCAAAGGGACTATGTATGTAGTGGCTGTCACTTTTTCCTGAAGGCTGTGGGGTGAGTGGTCCCTTTAGCTGTGCAGAGGACCATGGGTAACAGGGAGGGGGTAAAGGCTGTGTCGAGTTCTGAGCCACGAGTACCAGGGCCTCACTGGGCTCCTAGCCCTTGAAGCTTGTTCTCTGTTGGACAGGACCTTCGCTCTTACTCTCTAGACTTGCTGGCCGGGTTTCTCCCAGCTTCACTATTTTTTCAGCCTCCTAGTAGAGTGGCCCATGGACAGCAGCCACCTGGCTGGCCCGTGCCACTAAGAGGCAGCTTTGGTGGCCAAGTGGCTTGCATTGTCATTGCTCCTCAAAGGGCCTGTGAAGGGCCTCAAAGGGCCTGTGAAGGGCCGGGCAGATCGCGAGGACCTCTTGTGAGGGGAAGCTAGATTAAAGGGGGAGGAGTGCTGGAGGATAAAGGCCCAGCAAGTGTGCCTGGACTCCACAGGACCAACAGACCCAGGGGGCGGGGCCAGCTGGGAGTCAGGCCCCCCGGGCTTCACGCGGGGAGCCCAAATATTGGGAACAAAAGCAGGAAAAGAAGAGTGAGAGCAGGAGGGAGGGAGGGAGCGAGGAAGCAGAAATTAGGGGGTCTTAGATGAAAAAAACAAAGTAGCTTTAGGGGGAATGTGCTGTGGAGTGTGAAATTGCAGCCCATGGTGCTCCATATTGTACCAGAAGCTCTTCCAAAAAAAAAAAAAGCCGTCCTCCAACGTGACCAGAGGGCCAGGGGGGAGGGGCGGGGAGAGAATGGGGAAGAGGAGGGGGAAAGGGCCGGGCAGGAGCCGGTCAGGCCTCTCTGCAGAGGAGGCCGGGGTGTGAGCTTCGGCTGCCTGAGATCTGACCGCGGAGGGTTGCGCCCTGGGGTGCACTGGGACCCAGAGGGCGAGTGAGCCTCGGTGGTCGGCCCTGGAGTTCGGTTGTCAGAACTTTTTTTCCTTTTTGGTACTGACTTTCAAAAGTGGGAATAATCCAGAAATGAAGCTCGGCTGCGAAGCTGCAGCTCTGCTCTCCCTCTCTCCCCTCCTTCCTTTCTGCTTCTCTTCCCTTCGGACTAGTTTTCCCCCCTTGGTTCTAAACAGCTTTTTCCCCCCTGAACTTTAATGCGTTTAATTTGGTCCGCGCTGTGGGGAGCATTTCCTGGGGAGATGCATTTAATTTCGGAATTTCTAAATCCCTAGCTCCCCTAGCCGCTCCCCGGGAAGTGGAAGGAGGAAGGCAGGTCCCGGCCACGGGGGAGGGGCGCGGCTGGGATGCTCCTGCAGCCCCCGCCCTCCCCACCCAGGCTCAGCCGCCTTCCCAAGCTGCTGGAGGCCGGGAGCCTGGACCCCGGGTCAGGGCCCTGCAGGGGTGGGGGAGGCAGCCACGCCTCTGCCTTTTCTCGCCACCGCAGAAAACACCCGGGCCAGGGAACTGGAAACCGGAAAACGGGTGAAAGCGTTTCTGGAAGGGAGCGGGAGCGAGTGGCAGCGGACTGGGTCTACACCGGCACTTCACTTTCTCACAACACGCCCAGAAACGCATTTGAGAGCCCAGGAGTTGCGCTCGGCTTGGCTTGGGGCGCCGGTGCGTGGGGACATTCGAGGTGTGGGGTGCTTATCCGCCACCCCGACACCTATGCCCAGGCAGAGCGGGCGCGGCCCAGTGGGACAGCCAGGCCGGCAGTAGCTCGGCCTGCAGGGCGGAGGCAAGTCTGGGGGCCGCCAGGCGCCTGGGCAAGCCTGGCAGGGAAGGGAGCCGAGAAGGCAAAGGAGCTGAGATCCACAAGGAAGATTTATTGGGCAGATCAGATGCACAGAGGCGGCTAATGAAGCAGATCCCGAGATGGGTATCAGAGCAACTCCCCAAAAGTTTATTTGCCTTTAAATTTCCGCAGGGAGGCGGGCGCCTTGTTTGAAGTGTAAATGCCCCTAGGTTGGGGGGTGGAAGGGCCGCTTTGAAAACACCAGAGAGAAAAGGTTCATTTAGAGGCAGACGGGAAAAGCAACCAACCCTGACAGGTCGGAGCCCGGGTAGTGTTTGGGGTTGGGTTGTTTTCTTTCTTTCTCTTTCTTTTCCCCTTTCCTCTTCTTTCTTCCCTTTTTTTCTTTCTTGCTCCCCCCCACCCCACTTCTAGACTCTACAGAAGAAAGAGAACAGAAGAGGGGGAGTCAGACGAGCGGCCAGTGACTGAATAAAGGCCAGCCCTTCCTCCTGGAGCCCTAGAAAGCAGAGCTTTGGCGAAAAGGGGTTCTTAATCACTAGGGAGCATTGCTCGTTGACTTTCTAGACCCAGGAATGGGCTGGAGCTAAGGAGGAAGGGGCCAGAAGCCGGCCTGTGGGGGGAGGGTGAGTGTCCAGCTAGTGCGGTGCTGGGGAGAGGGTCCCAGGAGCAGGGGGGCGCCTGGGCTAGCAGGGGCTACCTGGGAATCAGACTACTGGAAGGGTCTTGACTCATCAGAGGGTGCAGGTGAAGGACAGGTGTGTGGGAACAACTTCCAGCATACCTGGTGCATGAAGTCCCCTTCTCTACAACATGGAAAATCCTTCCGGCCCAACATGTGAAAATGGTTGTGGGCACCCACATTTCACGGTACTTGTAACATAGGAATCTGTCTAGTGGTTCTAGAAAAATCTGTGTCTGTGTGGAAGGGGGGTGGTTCTACTCACAGCCTCCAATAGTTCAGATGCCCGAGGACAAATTCCTGGATGACCAACATGGAGAGACCTGGGGCAAGGGTTACTTTAGTTCCGAACGCCTCTAATTAAAGACCCTTTCTCAACGTTCCTTTCACCCCAGTTTTGGGTTAATTACTTCCCAGAAGTAAAGCCAAGGCTGTGCTGGCTAATACTACGTGAGCTCCCTTGCTCTCTAGGCTGGAAGCTGTTCTCTTTAGGCTGCCGGGACTGTTTTCCTTCTTCGCTCCCTACGCGAAGTTAGTGCGGGTTCGTGGGATTGTGAGGCCAAAGCAAACCCGGGAGCGCCATCTGCAGGCCTCGAGAGGAAGAGACTGACCTTAGGGGCTGGGCCCTTCGCCTTCAACCTCTAGCCCAAGGGAACCAACCTGCCTAGCCACCCAAGGGAAGTGGGGTGGTGGGCTGGGAGGGGCAGGCGGGGAGGAGTTTTTTCCTCCCAGACTTTACTCCGCAGGTGGATTAGGTTTATCGGGCTCTGGAGGATACAAAAGGGAGGGCAAATGCCAGGATCCCGGTGGACCCAGGCCCCTCAGGAGTGAGAGGCTCAGAACCCCGTCCCACTGAGCCTGACCTCAGCTCCTCTTGAGTGAGGAATAAGGGCGTCCCGAAAACCTGGGTAGTAGTAGTCAGGCTGAGTCAGGCAGGTGCACCTCTCCCCATCCAATCTGCCGCCCAGGCTCCGGCCAGAGGGAGAGGAGCGCGAGCCCGCGGCGCTTCCGCGGGGCGCCCGGAGTTGCAGACAGGGTCTGGAGGAACCTCGGATCCGGGCTGCAGGAGGGCGGCACAGGCTTCGCCTAGCCGCCCTTTCGAAGACCCAGGGTAGCGGGGGGGAGGAAGCGAAGGAGGGAGAGAGAGTTAAAACATCAGCTGAAGTGCCAAGATGATTTATGAGACGAAGGAAAATATTTCATAAAGATCTCCCGGATATTCTGTACTTAACCAGTTAGGAGACAAAGGGCTTCTCCTGCCTGGTGCGTGCAAGCGGACCCCAGCGAGCAAGGGAGCGAGTGACGGCAAGAGCCGCGGAGGCTCTGTCAGGAGTGGGGCCGGCCCCGCGCTGCGCCTCCTGCGCTCGCTCCGGATCCGCCAAGCTAGCAGCGGGCGGCGCTCAGCCGCCTGCGCAGCCTCCTCTTCTCCCCAGCCGGGGAGAGCCAGCCTCGTCTCCCGCATTCTCTGCCGCCGGCGACCTGCCCCTCCGCACTGTCTCCCTCCCTTGGCCTCCTCCCCAGCCACCCGAGGGTTCAGGAACCAAGTCCCCCTGCTCTCCCGCCTTCCGCCGGGTCCCACCCAGGCAGGTGGGTACTCGCCGGAGGTCTCCAGCTCGATTCTAAACCAAGCGTCTGGACTGCCCAGACCTGGTGGGCAAGGGAACTGGGGAGGCCCTACACGCAGTCGCGCGTGGGACAGGAGAGGACAAGACAAACAGCTGGACACTTTTCCGTGGAATGAGAAGTGGGGGAGGTGCATGGGTGGGAAGGTACCTCCGGAGGGAAAGGCCAAAGGGAAGAACCAGAAAGAGAGGGAGAAAGAGCCGGGAAGGAACGTAAGGGAACTCAGAGCCAAGGATGGTGGGATTGGGGCTAGGAATGCGGACTGGGCCCGGGGCCGCCTGGCCCAGGCGGGCACTGGCCGGTGGATTGCAGGGCTGGGCGAGTTAGAACTGAGAGCCTGCCTTCAGAGCGCAGCGCGCTCCGAGGCCCTCTGTCGTTACCTGAATATTCATTAGACTGGCCGCTCTTTATCCTTATCTAACGTTTATCTTATCGGCGAGTTTCGTTTCTCAGTGTAGTTTTAATCCTGGGCTCCCATTCCCCCTCCCCCGGCCCGCTCCCCTCCCTCCCTCTCCCTGCGCCCGCTGCTCCCTCCTTCCCTCCCTCCCATTTCCCCCTCCTCTGCCCTCCCCTTGCGGGCACCGGAGTGACAGGCGCGGGGCCCTCCTCGCCGAAGCTCGGGGCTCCGGCGCTGGCGAATCACAGAGTGGTGGAATCTATTGCCTTTGTCTGACAAGTCATCCATCTCCCGGCGCGGGGAGGGGGAGCGGGTCTGGAGGGGGCTTTGCAGCTTTTAGAGAGACACACACCGGGAGCCCAGGCTCCAGTCTCCGGCCGAGTCTTCTCGCAGCCGCAACCCACCTGGGGCCAGCCCAGGGCTGCCAGCGCAGCTCGGCTCCCTCCCTCCCTCCCTCCCGGCCCTTCGGCCGCGGCGCCTCGCGCCAGCCTTTTCCAGGGGCGGGGGCCCGGCCCGCGCCGCTCCCCTCCCGCAGGCGCCCTCTCGGACATCCCCGGGATTGCTACTTCTCTGCCAACTTCGCCAACTCGCCGGCACTTGGAGAGGCCCGGCTCCCCTTCCGGCGCCCTCGGGCCGCCCCCGCCCCGCGCGCTCTCGGACAACCGCCTCTTGGATGACCAGGTTCCAGGGGAGCTGAGCGAGTCACCTCCCCCGCCCGGCTTCAGCCCTGGCTGCAGTCGCCGCACGAGCCATGCGCCCCCAGTGCCCCCCAGCCCGGCCCACCGCCCCGGGGCCACTCTGCTGACCGCCCAGCCCCGAGTCCCAACGGTGGCAAGTTGCGGCTACTGCGGTTGGAAGCTCCCGCCAGCCCGGAGGAGCCCCAGCGGGGAGCTCAGCACTGCGCCCCTCGCCCCCGCGCTCCCCGCAGCAGCCGGGCGCTCACTCACCCTCCCTCCCCCACCGTCCCTCCCTTTTCTCCTCAAGTCCTGAAGTTGAGTTTGCGAGGCGACACGGCGGCGGCGGCCGCGCTGCTCCCGCTCCTCTGCCTCCCCATGGATATGCACTGCAAAGCAGACCCCTTCTCCGCGATGCACCGTGAGTACCGGCGCCCGGCTCTTGTCCCGGCTCGGGGCTGTCCTTCCCAACCCTGTCCAGTTCCAGCGTGGCCCAGGCCCCCCGCACTCAGGTCCCATCTTGGAGGCCACCCTGGCTTCTCCTGATCCCTCCTTTCGTTCTTCCTCTTTACCTTGCCTGGTGTTTCTAATGCCTCCAGCTTCTTTTCCTGCCTTCTGTCACCCATGCTTACCTCTCTGCCTGCCTGTTTTCCTACCTTCCCTTGTGCCTATCACTTGCCTTTGCTCCTTCCATCCGCTCCTTCTTAGGTCATGGGATCCACAGCTCCGGAGTCCTGGTTCCAGCCGCTCTCTCCCTAGTCAGCCTCTTGCCCTGTGCTGGGGGAAAATTAGCAGGCAGTTTTCGGGGTGTTGTTTTGTTGTGTTTTCTCTTTTCTCTCTCCCTCTCTTCCTCTGTTTGCCTCCCTGTCTTTTCTCCCCACATCTTTGTCTTTCTCAAACTCAAGAGTTGTGGGGTTCAGGAGACTCCAAGAGTGGTCAGCCTCAGTGTCAGGACAATTGGGCAGACGAGCATGGGGGTGGGGTGCCCCCTTCTGACCCTCATCTCTCAGCATCTCCAGGCCCTTCCAGCCCAACCGAGGCTTCTTGTGAGATGGTTTGAAATATTTCCTTCCTCTTCCTTTCTTTCCCACCCCACTTCCCTGAGCTTCCCCTTCCCTTCACATTGGGAATCTGAGGTTGTCAAGACGCGATGGTCATCTTTCCCTGCCTCTGCCTGGGAGATGCTCTAAAAACAAAGAGGGGTTCCGAGAAGAAATCGAAGTCAGGGAGAGAGCGAGCAGCGCAGCCTTCCAGGTGGGCCCGGCAGAGTGCAGCTCTGCTCTCAGCTCTGGAGGCTACTCGCCTAGCCTCCCACTCCACATTGAGGATCCTGCAGCCAACAACATGGCCAGGGGGTCAGCAAAGAGCAAAAAATGAGGGGGAAAGAACAAAAGGAAAGCAAATGCCAAAGCTGGGGAGAAAGGAAGAGAAATCCAAACAAGGGAAAGGAAATTTAAAAAAGAAAGTTGAAACAATGTTACAGAGGAAAAGGGAGAAGGGGAGAAAAGAGAGAGTTATTTTAATGAAACTTGAATTTAATTTATACCAGTCTTTAGCTTGAAAAACTATTCCTAAATTTTTTTGCAGGCTTTTTTAAAAAGATAAAATTCTAAATAGTAAACTCCTCCCTGTCTGCAGATTAATAATTAAGGATCATTTGTAACTTTTCACAAGGAAACTTTAGATCTGGCTTGGACCTGTGCTTAGGACAAGAGAGGCGAGGAGGGAGAGCTGTGCTTTTCCTAAGCATATATTTAGCATTACGGGGTGGGGTGGGGAGTTAAAAATACTCCTGGGATAAAATATATTTTCCTAAGTAATTTCCAAGCGCAGGAAAGCCACGCCGAAGGCATCAGGCCGCCGCAGTCTCGGCAAGCCGGCCGAAAAGCCTCGCTCCTTTTCGGGAGGAGTGGAACCGGGTCCACAAGCCGTCTTCGCGCAGCCAGCCGGCCTCGCGGCCCGGCTGCCACAGCTCTCGCTCTCCTTTCTTGTGGATTCCGCTGGGGATCCGCCCGAGTCCTGGCTGCCTACGGGGAGCCAATTTGAAACCCAAAGGGGAGCACTGCCCAGAGGAAGGTGGTCGGAGGGAGACAGCCGCAGCGCGGACCCGCTGGCCGGTTCACTGGCGGGTGAGATACCGCAGCCCGAGTGGGTACCGGCGGCAGTGGCGCATTCCAGGCCCGACTCAGCGCCGGCTCGCGGCGGTCTCCCAGCCCTGGACTTCCGTCTTGGCCCCTTCCCATCCCCACCCCTTAGATTGGGGCTGAGGGGCCGGGCCTGGAGCCCGGGGAGGCTGAATTATTCATCTTTAATCTGCCCGCAGCTGCCGCCTTTTCATACCGGTAACGCGAGTTCTCCCGGGGCCTAAATTATTGATGGTTGGGGTTTGGAGGGAGGGGAGGGGTGAGGAGCGGGGCTAGAGATAGGGAGATTAAAGGGATGGGCACGGAGGTAAAAGGAGAGGTGCCAGTATCTCCCAGCAGCCCGATAAGAGGCCTTTCCCCAGCGGTGTCACCCATGCTTGCTCTAGGTCCCCCCTATGAAAGGGATGGGATGGAAATGAGGGGGTCACAAATGTCCCCGCTTTCTCCGAAACTCGCGTGAGGCTAGCGGGGCAGGGGCTGCAGGTTGCGGGCCCCGGCCGACCCGACTCGGCCGCTAGAAGTCTCCACGCTTGGATTGCTCAGTAACTGCGGCTGCGGGTTGATCGCTCTGGGTGCAGGATTTCTAGACTGCTGTAGGCCAGGGAGAATGGGGCACCAGGAAGCACCCTCAGGCCTGGCACCCGGTGGCCGCCTAGGCTCCAAGATCGGGAGCCCACGCTGGAGCCGGGCTGGAAACCCCGTGCCCTTCTCTTGGCCGAGAGAGCAAACGCCCGAGCCGCTCAGTTTCCTGGGAACCTGCTGAGGTCTGAGGAGTCAAAGCGACGCGAATCGGGCTTGGGCCAGCTACACAGGGAGCCCCGAGAGTTATCAACCCGCCGGCACGGCCTGTGCCGTGCCACCCGGGCGAGACAGTGGGACCCAACTAAGCCCTGCGCGGTGCGGCAGGCAGGCAGGCGAGCCCAAGCAGCCGGCATTCTCCGCCCGCTGCCTGGAGCGGCTCTCGGCTGCCTCCGGGTCTCTGAGCGCAGCAGACCCCAGGCCCCTGCCTCTTCCGCCTTCCTTTCTCCACTTTAGATACTAAGGAGGTGAGGAGGAGACACCGCCCCCCTACAGATAAATAACATTAGAAAAACTCCCCATCTAAAATAAACAAGACAGGATACGAGGTAGAAAAATTGCGATTACAATTTAATACTTTTTAGGAAAGAGGCAGAGAGGAAAGGGGTGTGTGTGTGTCAGGCACTTATCCCCTCTCTGTGATGGGAGCTCGGATGAACAGTCAGCCGAGCCCCGACTCTCCCATATCGTCCACCTCCAAGCCCCGAAAGGGCGGACAGCTCCCTGATTGCCTGCGGCTCAGGCGGGATGCTGCTTCGCACGATCCCATCCTCTGCCGGGCCCTTCCTCTCCTCGCTTTCTAACACTCTTTCCGCTGGCATGAATTCCCCTTTGCCATTTTTCTCCCCCTCTTCCCTCTTTTCTGTCGCCCGGTTTCTCTGCAGTCCTCCCTTCGCTTTCTACCTTTCGTTGCACGGCCTGAGTCCTCCTCTCGCCCAGCCCCCAGTTTTCTGCCCAGCGCCCGCACTTCCGCGTCTCTACAGCTGGGCGGGGGTTCCAGTCCCCACTCCTCCGCGTGGTCGTGGGGGTCCACCACCTTTCTTCTCAAGTTCGAGAGCATGCCCTTCCGCCCTGCCTGCTTCCTTCGCACGTCCCGGGCCGCGGACCCTGACTAATGGCCGGTCCCTGCTGTGTGTGGGGTGTTGTGTTTTTTTCTTGTCTCTCCCCAGCAGGGCACGGGGGTGTGAACCAGCTCGGGGGGGTGTTTGTGAACGGCCGGCCCCTACCCGACGTGGTGAGGCAGCGCATCGTGGAGCTGGCCCACCAGGGTGTGCGGCCCTGTGACATCTCCCGGCAGCTGCGGGTCAGCCACGGCTGTGTCAGCAAAATCCTGGGCAGGTGAGGGCTTCGCAGCTGTCCCGGGAGACGCCCTGCCTACTTCCCCGGCCAGTCCTGGGTCTCCAGCCCCAGGACTTGGCTAAAAATCCAATGCCAAGTGGAAGAGGGAGGTCCTCAAAGGGGTCTGGAGAGGTGCGTCTTTTGGAAAGAGTGTTCAGATGGTGGCCAAAGACCCAGGAGCGAAGGTGGAGCAGGGTCACCCAGTGCCTGTCGTGCTTCTGGTCCCTGGTGAGAAGGCATCCCGCTTTTGGCTTCGGAAAGGGAGGAATGACTTTTCTAATGGAGTTAAGGCAGACATGGGGTGGGGGAGACAGTAGAGGAATGGGGTGGAGTGAAAATGGGTCCCCAAGAGGAGAAGCAGCAGCATTTGGGAGACAGGCGTGTCCTGGTTCCCATAGATGCTCTGTGCCCAGTAGGAAAAGGCTGGAGGTTGTGCCTCAGCTCTGGCCTCCCTGAGATGTTGCAGCGCTGCTCCCAAATGAAAGGCTGAGATTTCACACCCACGGGTGCCTATTCGGGCTGGTGTGCACCCAGCTCCTGGTGTAGCCATCTCCCCAGAGGGATGGTCCCCCTTTTTCTCCTCCTCCATGGCACTCCTCATCCTAGCCAAACACCCCCAGGAAGTTGGCTCAGCCACACTGGGTCTTTTCCCTTCACACTGCTGCCTTGGTGGGCGGGAGAGTGGCTCAGCAGCTCTGGAACCTGCAGCCCCCCTGCCCCGCCACCATCCGCTTCTGGCTGACCCCGCCGGCTTTCCCGGCGCAGGTACTACGAGACAGGCAGCATCAAGCCGGGTGTTATCGGTGGCTCCAAGCCCAAAGTGGCGACGCCCAAAGTGGTGGACAAGATTGCTGAATACAAGCGACAGAACCCGACTATGTTCGCCTGGGAGATCCGAGACCGGCTCCTGGCTGAGGGCATCTGTGACAATGACACAGTGCCCAGCGTCTCTTCCATCAACAGGTGAGCAAGCCACTCGGGTCTTCAGGGCTGGACTCCAGCTCCTGGCTCCTGCCTGCAGGGGTGTTCCACACCCAGTCTCTGCTCTTTTTCCAGCCTCTGCCCTTTCTCCCTGCTCCCAGCCAAAATCCTTCGGTCAGGGAAAGAGGACCTGTGAGGCAGAGAGATAGACAGACAGACAGGGCTGTCTCCAGATCAGGGCTGGGTATTCCCTGCCAGGCTTCTCCCGCTGGCGTCCTGGAAATGAATCCAAGTGTTTGTGGTAATTAAGACTCCAAGATTACGAGCATCCAGCCTTGGGATCTAGAGACAATCACAGCCTGCAGCCGGAGCCTTTAAAATGACCAGTGTCTATTCATCCCCTCCAAACAGACTTCCCTTTCTAAAGGCTGCTCCTTACCCAGGGGCAGCCGCCTGTCCTGGCTCCCCCACCCTCCCTGCCAGCCCCCACAAAGCTCACCTCCCAGGAGCTGGTCTTGCTAGCCAGCTCCACACAAATTTCCGGCCTGTAAGCTCTGGGATCTGGGCTTGCAGAACAAATGCCAACCACCAGCCAGCAACTGGCAGGGAGTAGAGGAGCTGGACAAGGAGGGGGTGCCAAGCAGGGAGGGAAAACTCCAGACTCTGAGACAGAAACTCAGGTGATACCCTCGATCACCTAAGGTGCCTGTCTCCAGGCTGAAGTCTTTGCACTGATGACAGGTGCACACATGTGGGGACAACACAGGGCTGAGTCAGCTTGACATACAGGATATTTAGATCTCCTAGTCTCCAAACCACTCCAGCGTGCTCTCTGGGAGAACACATATGCACATTGCACAAACATCCACCCTAACCAGTGTGCCAATATGCCTATCTGTGGTAGCTATAAAACATACAAGCAGCAGTGGGCTCAGGAACCCAGGCTGGCTTCAAGATCACAGAACTGTATGAACTGACAGTTATTCACAGAGTCCCGGCACAAGTCACACTCCAGTCAGAAGCAAGTCCCACACGGCCTTGCCCCCCCCAATTTAAGATACCCCAAAATGAAAAGAGAGCTAAGCATTTCATACCTTTGTTATTCTTTGCATTCTTCATAAGCTCATCATCAGGACAACTAATAATTCAGATGGTGCCTTATTCTGAAACTGGCAACACTTATCAATGATTTTTTAAATATTTTGTAAATGATATGGAATTATCCCAAATCATCCTGAAAACAGCAGGTAAAATTAGCTGGTAGAATGTACCTTGGCTAAAGAAGATTCCCTGTGCCACACTCGTGCTGTAATGTATTGCGAGGCGACCCCAGAAATTATCCCAGTGTGTGCCATCTGTATTAAAATGGTTATTCAGTTATGAACAGGGTAACATAATACTGATCAGCTAATTATACACCCTCCGAAAACCCTCCAGCTCCCTGGGCCTAGCTCAGCCAGGTATTGAAAGCATAGTGATTTGACATTCAGATACCTTCCAAAGGAGCTGGAGAGAGATGCTAGGTGGTTTGGGAGAAAAATAAGTCCTTTGCTTTAAAAGCCAGGGGAGGACACTGGGGCAGCTTTGGGCTGAGGGAAGAGCGGCACTTCGGGAGGGGAAGGGGACAAAGCATTGTTTTATGAGCCATGTAGAGACTCAACCTCTTGCCTGACTGCTGGTTCTGGGAGTAAGTTGGACCTGAGATCTCAAGAGAAGAACAAGCCAAGGGCCAAGAGTGGCCCTGCTGAGCGCAGCGTCGCTGGGACTGGGTGGTGGTCTTCTGCAGAACACTTATGAGAAATGCTTGTTGTCAGTAATAGAATTTGTAAGCCTTTGGAGAAACCCAAGTCATGTGGGGTTTAGGAAATCTGTTTCTCTTGAATGAAGTAGAGGAGTGGTATGACAAGTCAGGCATGGCAACCCTGTCAACACCCCCTGTCCCTTCTCCCGACAACACATACCCCTCATTGGCTGAGATGATTTGGGAAGCTGGCTTACGCTCAAGTTTGGAAATGCTTCTATCCTGAAAAGCCATGGAGAGAAAGGGCCAGGTGACCCCAGGATCAAGCTCCAGAGGTCTTGAGGTGCACCCACCAGAATTAGGACCAAGTAGACCACAAGAGAACCACAAGTGAGATGAGGGTGGGGAAAGAGTAGCCTCAGCTTGTCAGCTATGATAGCTGCAGAGCCTGCCCAGCACAGAGCCCTGACACCTGAGGGGCACACAGGCTTCCTTTGGGTGTGGAGAAATAGCTATCTGTGGGCAGGTGTTGCTGGAGATGGAGAAGGAGTAGGAGGAGAAGAACGGGGAAGCCGCCAACCACACCTTGGGTCCACAGTGAGGCTTCACGGCTGGCTTTGTCTACAAGGAGCGGGCAAAGTAGTCTCAATTTCACTTTTGGCCAGAATCCTCTCATGGTTCATATTTTGGAAAGAATTCTGGGGGCTTCCCAGTGTGCTGCTGAGTTGGGGCTAGAGAAATCTACCTGGGGTAGGTGGTTTGCTCTGAAGAGGTAAGCTTTATCTGAGGTCTGTTTTTTTCATCCAAAAGTCTGATAAAAACAGGATGTTTCTGCTAGTGCTGTTTATATCAGGAACTTTGCCTTTTCTCAGTTTTGGGAATTCTCACTCACTGTAGGAAGAGCCTGGAGATTTTCCTGTGTGCAGAAAGCGTGGTGCATTAGGGAACTGGTGGTTCTTGAGGTTAGAGCTTTGTTGGTGGTGACCTGCCCACTTGTGTTGGGTGTTTCATAACAGTTATGAGTAAGGTTGTGCATGAGCTGGTGGTTGGCAAGAAAAGAAGTCCGCAAATGCTCACCCACCTGAGCCAAAGGTTTTTCATCTTCTCCTCCCCAAAACAGATGCTGTCGCTGCACTTGAAATATGCTGTTATGATTATAAACTAAATTGCTTTTTCATTCTTTAAAAATGGTTTTGGCATTCTCTGATCCTGTTGCGATAAAGGCGTGGCCA